CTTATCCGGTTTATCCGTAGTATCGTACATTTTGTCCGGTATTTTCACATTATCTGCACCCAAGAGTGATTCCTTTAAATTTGGGGAACAACAGTCATATGAGCAATTCGTACCAAATTTCAATCGTTGAAATATTATTCAACATGTTCCAGGTGAATTACTCGCGATATTTGTTGCAACCATTTTCGGAATTCAACAATCTCAAATGTTGCAACTACTTTCGGACAGAGGTAGTATCTTCTTGGAAGCTTGATGCATGAAAATACCTATTTTCTAGCGATGCGATTGGCCCAATGAAACGTAGTGCAATACTAGTATGCATTATGTTTCCCTATTTGCTTGAACAAATAGTTTCTCAACTTGCTCAATAAGTGAAAAAACTGCAGTACATGTAGGGATAAGTGAAGGGAGCTGGTACACGGTGGTATTATGGTACTGATTTGTGGTGTAATGTTAATTGGGTTTGATTGAATGCTAGTTGCCCCCCCTTATTTTACTGTTCAAAGTCCTTCCCCCATGACTACATTGAATTCTAGACTGTACTATGAAGGGGCGCGAAGATATATTCATAGCGCAAATACACAGCAAATCAACCTGCAAATCTCACAGCATTGCATCATATTCTTATTAAAGCTGGGATTTTTTGAAGTCACTATATTGTTGGCATCATCCCCCAAAGTTAACAAGGTTTCGAGGTTACGATCTCCGGAGAATTGACATCGAGACTACTACAGTGTAATTCGCAAAGTGCTATGGAGATTGTATGTATTCACTTCCTCATCCACAAATCACCTAACACAAAGCACATCTTCCTACGCCCGGCCGAAATTATGGCACACATCACCAACTACTACGTAGTATATATATTATTTTACCAACTGAACGCAGCCCCAATCCAAGCTATATTGTACATACATATGATAGCGATGTAAGACATGTACTTGATTTGGGGGGCGGACAGGGGGCTTTATTGTAACGTATTAATTTGGTGCTTTGAAATACATTATTAACAGAATATTTGAGTTTATATGAATAGTAGTTGCGCAGCCCTAACTTGATACTATCACTAAGCCCTTCGTCGACGACTCGAATCCGCTTGTTCCTGTAATAAAAAATATTTTACGCAACGATACTACCGGTACCGCGACAACCAAGTGAAGTCAAAGCGTAGCTCACTGAAAATTGGACACAAAAGTTGGTGGGGGAAATAAGTAGTTACTTGTATATAGATTAATGCTCCGAAGAACTTCGACGTATAAGGAATATTTGTAGTTGTCGAAATATATTTTTGTGTTCGTGTATGTCGCTGCCACAAATAGTAACTGTAAGTCTAGCGAATTAAAAGCACTTGAAATAAAACAAGAGCATCCATCCGACAACGCTATGAAGCTGGAGACACAAACAACGTTAACTCACATTGCTCATTGACATTGTCAAATAGATTCGAAATTGGAGCCACCAGCAGTATTTACTCGAATTACTACCTGTAATGGTACAGCTTACATTGAATACAAGTACTGTTTAACAATACTACTAATACAGTAAGGGGAATAGGATAAAAACTTGTGGCCATTTGACTTTTTACTGGTGGTCACCGAAAATGTCATGTGTTGGTGTTTTGCTCGTGGTTAAACTGTGGAACTTGCAGTTAACGAGAATTGCTTGGGCATATCTAGCCTCATGCGTATCGACGCGTAGGCATTCGAACTGTATGGTATGGCCAGCACTACAGCTCACAAAGTAAAACTCTAACACGATTACCTTCGCAAAGATATAGGGCCCACCCACGGCTTGTTTGCTTGTTTTACGTTAGCTAATGATGGAGTGATATTACACTTACTGGACTGCTCGACTATGAAGCAACAACCCAGTAATACCCACTGAGTAAAACTCCACCATACCATTTAACCATGAGTGAAGCCCCATGTCTCACTCTACCTGAACATCCATTGAGCAAAACCCCAAAACACCACTAGTGAAAAAACTGCCTCCCCTACAGTACGTAGCATTCACCGTTGGTACGATTAACGGTGTACAACGTTGTATGCCTTCGTGTTTCACGTTAACGATAGGATGTACTTATCGTAGCAAGCAATTAGTCCCACCCACTTACTCAGGGACGTTTTAGGTCAATAGTACCAAATTCCCTGAGTGAGTGGGAATTGGTCAAAACGCCGCGACGACAAATATGGCTGCAAATATACAGTAATCCATTAATAGGATTTCGGAAATTGAAAGCAAAGTAGATGCAAGGGATTTATATCGACGATTTCGGAGATAACATTTTTCTATATCCATAGACTAGATGGAGCCAAATTCGTGGCCTTCGTGGATGATCGGCGAGGTCATGGTGAAGTGGACCCATGGTTCAATTGCCGTGGAAGGCAGAGACATACGAAGCATTGAATTCATTGAAACTCATGTTGTGTTAACGTTAGTTCAGTTCGGAAAGGCGTGGCTACGAAGGAAAGGAGTGGCTTGCACCTAAAGTACTGTAGCACATTTCGGCAACTGGCACCAAAGTGCCAGTTGCAGAGGAGTGCTTCTATACTGTACTACAGTAGTACTTCTCTGTGCTTCAAAGGTATCGATTGAATAAGGCCGCGCCAAATTAACTCACCGGATAACCAGTCATAATCCAGAGTGGACACCACTTCAGCCCAAGGTGTCTCTTGAGTCCAAGGTGTCTCTTCGCACTCCATCAAGTCCACTTGCGCAACCAAGGTGTTCCCCCGACGATACATCGATGTTTGGTTGCGCGTAGCTTAGTGATAGAGTAGTAGTCTTAACGCTATCAATTCATTCTTGATTCTACCATCTCCTGCGTCTTCCTCTGCGCATGCTCACACCTGGTAGCACTCCACGTTCGTCCATTCGACCAACATTATGTCCTCCACCAACAACGCAGCCCACCAGGCGTTCCTCGCCCTTTTGCGTCGCGGTTTTGGCGACAACGATACCGCGCTACTCCTTGGCGGGATGACTCCCGATAACCAAACTCACCTTGTGGAAGGCATAGGTAGCACGATTGATCTCTCGGTTGCCGAAGCTACGGCCGCCCAGAAGGTATTGGAAGAACAAGTCGCCCAAATGTCTTCGCATGGGCGAAACCTTGAAGTTTCTCTTCGCATCGCTCGCGAGAAAATCGCGACTCTCGAAGACCAAGCCTCCACCATGTCGTCCCATGGTTGCACCCTCCAAGATTCTCTGTGAATCGCTCACGACGAGATCACGCGCCTCACGCGTGCTTCGGAGTCGGAAACACCATCGACTTCTCGCCTGAAGTCGATCAAGCTGGATGTGGCCAAATTCGGCGGAGCGGAGACGGAAAAACTCCTCCGCTGGCTTCTACAAGTCAGCACTGCTGCTGACTCTCAGCGTATCTCCGACGACGCCACCCGTGTAGCTTTCGCGATGTCGCATTTGAAGGGTCGTGCGGAAGATTGGGCGTTCTCCAAACGCTTGACGGACCGCCACTGCTTCCCATCTTTCGCGGTCTTTGAGACCGAACTCAAGGCAATGTTCCTGTCACCCAACAGCGACTTTCGCTATCGCTCGCAATATCTGGCTTGCAAGCAAGGGAAACGCTCCCTTCAAGAATTCATCCATGATCTGCGCTTCCTGGCTGCGAACATTAACGATGAAGAGTCACTCCCAGAGGCCCTACAGGTGACCGTTTTCATGGACGGTCTCAACCAAGGCCCGGCACGCACACAGTTGTTTCGCGCCTACCCGGACACCTTTGAAGAAGCCGTCCGAATCGCGCTTTCGGAATCATTCTCTTCCTCCTTGGCGCACACACGCGCGGCGTCCTCAGACATGGATGTCTCCATGCTCGCCCAGGCATCGGACGACCGCACCTGTTTCAATTGCGGTCACCCAGGACACTTCTCCCGCGCATGCCCGGCCCCTCGCCGTGTAGCGTCAGCCGCCCCACCCTCGCACGGTTCCTCCCGTACCGCGCCCGATATCCCTTCGCGTCGCCCTCCGAGCGGTCCACGTAACCGCTTCAATCGTGAACGCCATGGTGGCTCACGCCCACCATTCCGCCCCGCTCCGAGCTCGAGTGCGGCGGGAAACGGTCGCTCCCAGTAGGCGCGAGGCGACCTACTGGGGACACCCTAGGTCCGTTGGAGGTGTGTGGCGCGCTGACACACTCTAAGGACCTAGCCTCGGACACAGACCTTCTTCTGTGTCGTGTTGGGCTCCAACCCAACAAAATGATTTGTTTGGAACTTTCGTGCCTGGCTTCCCGCCAAGGCTATCTGCTTTAATCGATTGTGGGGCGTCGAACATCTAGCCGCTCCACTCTCTCTCGCTTCAACCGCTTACCCCTCTTCGGATCCCTCCGACAGGGTTCGCGTCAAGATGGCCGACGGCCACACTGTGTCTCAACCACGCATAATCGTCGACGTTCCCATCACCTTCGACGGTTTCGACTCGACCGAACCGTTCTATGTTATCGACCTCGATGAGAGATGGGATCTGATCATCGGGATGTCCTGGCTGGAGTCCCACCAGCCATGGATTGACTGGAAGGCCAAATCCGTGCACAAGGATACTTAGCTCAACGCGAGCCAACCCTGGATTCATCGGCAGGCTGCCGATCGCCTTCCCCCATCCACCACCAACCCGCTTGGCTCTCCGCTAGAGGCGATGAGTAATGATCTCGCCTCTCCTAGCCCCGCAGCGCGCTCATTGGTCCCAGCGCCCGCGGCCCCAACGGACCCAACCACGGTTTTGCACAATACCCCTTTCGTGCCCCCAACAGAGTCACCCTCTGAGTTGATTCTGCAGGCCCTTTGGTCATTCCAGTTTCTTCTCTAAACTGAGCCCTCACTGCTGCCCAACCGCTGCTACTCAACACACGTTCGTGAAATGGTGCGAAGGACTAGTTAGGTGGGCATCTACAACTACTGTACATGCTACTAAGCTCAAGCTACGGTGAGGCTCCGTTACCGCCCCCGATAGTGGCCTCGACCTTGGCAACCATGTTTATCCAAGAAACGTGTAACTTGCACGAACTCCCTCGGACGTCTTCCGAGATCCTGGAACTGCCAGAGATGAGCTTCCACTCACTCGTGGAATCCCTCTCTGCGCCCACGATATCGCCGCCTTGGCGATCATCACAGTCGAAGAAGAGATGGATCTCTTTTCGACCTTGGCCGCAAATGACTCGGTCCTCCGGCTCCATCGAAGTCCAGACGTGGGACTCCCTACGATCCAACCCCTATTTCGACCTCCTCCAAGAATTTGAGGACGTCTTCCCCGACGAGGTACCGTGTCGCCTCCCGGTCGACAAAGGCGTTCAACACGAGATTGACCTCGTGCCCGGCGCAAAGTACTGTGTAACGCGGCAATGGCCGCTTCCTCGCGACCAAGTCGATGCCATCGACGCTTTCTTCGCGGCCCGCAAGGCGGCGGGTCACGTCCGCGAGAGCATCTCCCCTCACAGCAGCCCGACCTTCTGTGTGAAGAAGCCCGGTGGGAAATGGCGTATTGTGAACGCAGCCACGATTCCGGCTCAGACGCCGATTCCTCGCAAGGACGATATTATCGACATCGATCCACCATTTTCTCCACCATCGACCTTCGCGATGGCTTTTACCAGATCTTGATGGGTCTATGCAACGTTCCAAAAACGGCGGTCTCTAGGCCGAGCGGCATGTTATGGGAGTGGCTGGTCATGCCACAGGGTCTATCCAACGCCCCGGCGACGTTCAATCGTATGGTTACCGCGAAGTTCCGCGCGTTTCGCGACTTCGCTCCGTCGTACTTCGACGACATTTATGTTCACAGTTGCGCATCCTCCACGCAATCCGATCTTGACGTTCACCGCGGCCACCTCCACAAAGTGCTTGAAGTCCTCCGTGCCAACGGACTCTATGCCAACCTCGCCAAATGTATGTTTGGCGTTGACGAAATCCCAGTCCTGGGCGATTTCGTGGGGGTGAACGGATGTCGGGCTGATCCTGACAAGATCAAGGCCATTGCGGAGTGGCCTATCCCCTCCTCCGTCAAGGATCTTCGTCGCTGGCTGGGCCTTGCGACGTACCTGCACAAATACTCGCAAAACTTTGCGGACATCGCCCAGCCGTTGTTTCGGCTTCTCCTCAAGGACGCCCCTTGGGTTTGGGACTCCGCTTGTCAAGAGGCTTTCGACGGCCTCAAAACCAACCTTCAACGCGCCCCGATCTTGGCGCTCCCAGACTTTGACAAACCTTCCTTTCTCCGTCGTTTGTGACGCTTCGCAATTCGCCATTGGCTGCTGCCTGATGCAGCTCGACGCCTCCGGTCACCCTCACCCGGTCTCCTACCAAAGCCGCCAACTTCACGCGGCTGAGCGGGCGTACCCAGTCCACGATTTGGAACTTCTCTCCATGAAGTACACCCTGACCAAGTTCCGCATCTACCTCCTCGGCGGAAAACCCTTCGTGATCTACACCGATCATACGTCGCTACGTACAGCGACGAATACACCCCACCTTTCACAGCGCATGGCGCGCTGGATTTCGTTCTTCTCCAAATTCACATTTTCGGTACAGTACAAGCCCGGGAAGGACAACATCCTGGCCGACGCCCTCTCTCGGCGCCCTGATCTCGAACTGACCACGATCGGTCTTTTAACGACGGGTCTTCACGATAGAATTCGTGAAGCGTACCCCTTTGACGCTGACTGCTCGTCGCGTCTGGCGGCGCTCACCGACCCCGTTTCCCCCAAACCCCGCCGTGCTTCGTCGGCCTTACACCGCTTCGCCCTCGCCGATGGGCGTTTGATATTTTCAACCCACCGCGGACTCGCCGCCGCGCATTGTTGTGCCCGGTGACGCGCAACTGCGCCTCACTCTCATTCGATCCTACCACGACTCCCCTAGCGGCGGCCATTTCGGCCGCGACAAAATGCACGCGGTTCTAGCGCGCTCATACTGGTGGCTCCGCTTGTATAAATCCGTTGTGCGCTATGTCGCTCATTGCGACGCTTGCCAGCGCACTAAGATCACCGCCTCCTCTCGGGCTCCGCTACAACCTCTGCCTATTCCGGACGAACTTTGGTCGTCCGTCAGCATGGATTTCATGTTTGGCCTGCCGCGCGACGCCGGCATTTTGGTTTGTGTCGACCGAGCGTCGAAGTATGTTATTGCCGTCCCCGTCCGGGGCACGATGAGCGGCGGAGATACCGCTCGCCTCTTTTTCGATCACGTTTTCTGTAGTTTCGGCCTGCCTCGCTCCATCGTTTCAGACCGCGACCCGCGGTTCACGGCGAAGTTTTGGTCCACCTTATTCGCTCTATGCGATACCTCGCTCGATATGTCGACTTCGGATCACTCCGAGTCCGATGGCCAAACGGAACGTGCCAACCGCGTCCTCGAAGATATCCTCCAGAGCTACTCTGTTTCTACCGGTTCCTCGTGGGCTGTCACGCTACAGCACGCGGTTTTTGCTTACAACGTCGGTTCAGACGTCCACTGGCTTTTCGCCGCATTATGCGGTCCATCTCCAACACCCCCGCCTCCCCCCTATGCTCGAAGGTTCGATCTCCAGTGGGGGTGGAGTCACTTCGCGGCTTCGTTCCGCGGGCATACTTTCCAACGCCCCCAGCCGCACTGTCGAAACCATTCAGAGTTTCCTCTCCCGTCGCGTCTCTGTTATGCAACAGATCCATGACAGTATCGCTGCCGCTCAGCAGCACCAATCAACTCAAGCCAACAAACATGGCCGTTCTAACTTCGCGTCTTTCGCCGTGGGCGACGTGCGGTTGGAATGTCTTCCAACGTCAAGCTACGCAGTGCTTGGCACGGCCCCTTTACCGTTCTTCGCGTGGTCAGCACAACCAACTAGAAGCTCGATAGGCCCAACTCATGGCAGATCCATCCAACATTTTATGTGGGTAAACTCAAACGTTATTTACCGTTATTATCTACTCCTACGACCGATGAAGTGACGGCAACCGATCCTTCGGATCCCGCGGCGGCTCTTCCTCTTCCGCCGCCTCCGACTTCTCCTCCTCCTCCGACTCCCCCACCGTCGCCATCCTCGACATCGGCACCACCACTTGTTGCGGCGCCGCAATCGCCGGATAACCTGCGGCTGCTTGCCACTCCGCCGCTGTCAATTGACCATCCTGTTGAGGTCCCGATGGCGGATTGTACCCCGCGAACGGATTCGTCGGTTGCGCCGCCGACAATCGCGCCGCCACCTGCGTATGTTTGCGCGCCCACGTCGACGAACTCGACGTCGGCGAAGCCCATACGCTCGACCAGGCGCTCGCAGGGAGCACCGAAAACCCGCCTGGCGTCGTCGCCGACATCGCCGCTTGGCCCCAAGAAGGTGAGCGTCCTGGCACCGCCGATCGCCCAAGCGAGCGCGAGCGTGGGTTCGCGATGGACAGCGACGGGTCGGCAGTTCGCTGTGCGAGTCGGGCCAACTACAACTTGGCAATCCGAGGCTTATGTTAAACAACACTTACCTCAGGCCCGCGCCGCATATTTATGCGGGCGGCGATCCTCGCGACAGACCGTGCGTCCAAACGCCCATGCTTCTGTCGCCGCACCCCGGCGAAATTAGATAGCGAGTTGGCCAACTGCCCCGCTGTCAGCGGCAACTGCTTATGCCACTCGCTGCCTTGTCCGACCAACATCCACACAAACGCTACAAGGTATTCCAGCAATGTTTCATCATTGAAAAGCTCGATCCGCCCCACGTCAACCGTCCAGCGCTCCAGGCGCTCCCGTTCATGCAACTCACGCATGGCGCCCTTGAACTCATCAAACCGGTGAAAACTCACCCTCGCAAGCTGCATGCACTCCATAGCAAGCAGCAACCACATCACCCGCAACTCAAACGATTGGGCGCTTGCAAACAAGCGCAGGTATCGCTCCACGCCGGCAGCATTGGCCACCTGGTATCCCCAACCCTCGCGAGTCTCGTCGAACTCGCGTAACACCGTCAAATGGCGCGTAACGTTGCGCACGTACTCCAAATACACGCCACCCCAACCGGCAGGCGTGAAGATCCGAGAGCGGTCCCAGTGGAATCCTAAGTCTCGCTCAAACACCTCGTCTCGGGCGAGGCCGGTCCGCTCCGGTCCAACAAGTTCGGCCTTCACTTTGGCCACCGTCTTTATGGCGGTTCCCACACCGCTCGCCTTTCTTTCTTTTCCCCCAACGCCCGTAGCGTTGGGATGTCCCCCTTCGCCCGATGGTGTCCCAGTCACAACTTCGCTGGTCACCTTCCTCGCTGCTTCCGCAGCCTCCTCGGCTGCTTCGTCCGCCGCCTTCAGCGCGCCTTGCCTTCGTCTTCACCTCTTCGGCCGCTCTTGCCTTCTTGGCGGCCTCCTCCCGTGCCAAGTGCTGCTCCAGCACCCTCAGCGCCCACTCTTTGCATGGCACTCTTCACCAAGTCAGCAGCCGCTTGCTGCTCCAGCTGTCCGAGCCGTTCGCGCTTCAAGGCCGCCTTGGCCTCCCAGTCAGCATTGCGCTGTGCCACTTGGATAGCGTCCTCGCTCGGCACCACTCCGCTGTGAGGTCCACTACCTCCACTTGCTGCGCCGGCGCTTCGGCTTCTTCGACGCTGTCGTCGGCATCTTCGGCAATCTCGTTCGCCTTGCGCTTCTTGCGATCGTCTGCCATTTCAATCTCAACTGTCACGCCACAGTTCTCTCTCATTTTTGACCACGTGATGATGGCACGCTCTGTCTTAAGTAGGGGAGGGTGTAACCGTGCCCATCATCCGGTTATTAACCGGATGACTAGTGGACACCTCTTGAGTCCAAGGTGTCTCTTCGCACACCATCAAGTCCTCTTGCGCAACCAAGGTGTTCCCCCGACGATACATCGATGGTTGGTTGCGCGTAGCTTAGTGATAGCGTAGTAATCTTAACGCTATCAATTCATTCTTGATTCTACCATCTCCTGCGTCTTCCTCTGCGCACGCTCACAGCATGTGCAGCCGAAAGGTGTTGTTCACAGTACGAGTCCTACGATCGCACAGAAGTTGCACACCGTGGGCATAGCCACAGAAACGAGTGTGAGCCATGCAGCCAATGTCCTCCGATACGGCGACCGCACCGTGCGACGTTTGGTTCAGCAGCATACCATTCTCCAGCAGTCCCCCTCGGGGCCAATTTCAATGACTGGTACCCTTATTTTGACGGCAATGTTGTACGGACACACCAAAATCTTATCAGTGAGTATTGCGCGGCTGCCTGTCATCTGTTCTAACTGTAAAGTGGGAAATTGGGGGGATATAGAGACTCTCTATGGCTGGAGACCATTGACCCAATCCGTATATCTTTATTAATTTATACTAATGTAACTAAGCTTACTACCGGTAGTACTACTGTAGTTTGAAATAAGATTGATCGGTCGGTATCAATCACAGTGACATGATGGAAGTTCGCGATTTTCCTCTATGACTCAGTTCCCTTTCTAAATACAACTTACGACGTAGTAATTCTCATCGATTAACGAGTGCCTTTACCTTATTCAATAATAACCTGTACAATCTAATATTATATTTTAATACTTCTGTGTCAAAACGTTTTTGATGATAGGTGCACCGTAACGCCATTGGTCAATTCGAACTGACTCTCTACCAATCACAGCGCCACATTCCGGCCTTATTCAACTCGTTCCCTGCTCGCGGCCGCCTAAGTTGCATTTTGTAGTTCTTATAAGTGTCTACAGCAGATGTGATGGTGCACGAGACTCTACGTCATTATGCATAAAGATGGAGGTTGTCATTAACTTGTTCGCTCCCATCGCGCCTCTGATTGACCTCCACTTCATGTGGGCCATCCTCCACGCTCTATTCGAAGTGCCAACAAAAAAGCACCAAAAAATTACACACATATTAGATTATAAAGGGACCAAATTTAGAAGTGCAGGTGGAGGTGCTGTAAGGGGAGTTATAAATAACCCTACCGCGAGATTCTAGTAATTCCGAACCCACCGATTGTATTCACATCATAACGTTATCCTTCACACGGATGCTACTACAGTAATAGGTCTTCTGTCTTATGGACCTCCACACCATACAGTCCTGTATTCGGCGTTGTAGTAGTCACAGTCGTCCTTGGTAAAGTCAGTAAAGCACGAGTCCCACTTGTGGTAGTAACACATTTGGCATTTCTTGCAGCCGTCGGGAGAGGCAGTCGTTGGCCCGGGCGCATTGGTCGTGTTTCTCGGGGGTTTCGTGATCGCTCCCCCGTTGAATACAGTGACTTCCTTGGCAAACTGGTTGATGCCTTTGTACACTTCGAGGCCTCGCGTCTTGATGGTCGACGCGGGCGCGGTGAAATCATTGCCGACAATTTCAATCGTCAAGGCAGGCTTCTTGAACTCGCGGAATGCATAATCTGGAAACGTCCCATATGCCAAGTACAACTCGTACGACGGTTCTGGCTTGTACGCCCCCATCACGTTTTGCAATCCACGCCCGAGTACTTTGAACTTTTCGTCAAAGCCGCCGCCGATGGGTTGTTTAGTGTCCCCGTACGCGTACAAGATGAGCCCTCCGTACGTGTGAATGTCCAAATACCCCTGGATTTCGTCGCGTTTGGTTTCCATCCAGGCATTGATACCCGCGGTTTCGGGCTCGCTAAACGGCTTAGTGCCAGGGTACGTTTCGCTGTTCTTGGAGGGGGGGTTGGGGTTCTTGATGGGCGTGGGCCAGTTGCGGTTCAAGTCAACTTCGTTGGCACTTTTCCGCTGGTACCGGTTTCTCGACCACGAGATCTCGAGGCCGTCAATGTTGACAATTGGCACAAAGTACAAGTCGTACTCGTCGGCGGCCGTGGGTTTGTTATTGGTAATGTCATCGAGAATCGACGCGAACGAGAACAGAATCGACGACCCCGCGACCCATTCGCGGGCATGTTGCTGGGCTTGAAAGTACAAAGACTGCGAGTGGCCCTTGGTCAACTTGTACCCGTAAATCGTGGCCCCCTTGTACGTCTTGGAGATGGCAAACTTGCTCAGCAACTTCGGGTTTTGTTTGACCAAGGTATCGGTGAACTCGTAGATTTGATCGATGGTGCGGTAGCAGTTGTGGAACGCACTGGTCGAGTACTGGCCGGCCTTGAGGGACGGGATATAGTTGTCGTTTAGCTTGTGGCAAGCGCGGTTGGTATCGGCATCGTTCCAGATGAAAGTTTCTTCTTCAAAGGTTCGTGCACGGCCGTCACTGCTGTGCAAAGATTGACCAGCGACGAAAGACGACACGAGCGTGAAGAACGTAGCGACCTCAAAAGTGTGCTTCATGGCAAATTGAATTATGTGGTGGAACGCAGTCGGCATATTTTGTGTAATTATCAGGTAATCAAAATACACGGATCGGTGGGAATTGACATGCTGCTACTGGAACCTGATGAACGTAAAGTCAAAGGTTGTCCATATCGTTCGAAAGACGCATCTTTCAATCGTTCGGATTGGACAAAACTGATATTACTATATATTATTATAGTATTTTGTAACAGTCCAAGAATACTCCGGAGCAGCACATGGGTAAATGTAGCTTTTCGAAAAACAAATATAACAAAATATATCGAATAATTTTGGAATTAAGTGCCCCAATATGACGCCATGAATAATGAAACCTTCCAATCGAGGCCTTCCAAAACCTAATAATGGGGGACTGCCAAAACCTCCTCCGGAAACTTCGAAGTAAATATGTACTTCGATGTATTTTGCTTCCACTTGCAAGTACTAGGAAGACTTTCTCGATTGATAAATTGCGTAGAAAATTGCGGCGACGAGGTGAAAAATGTCTCAGGAATTTGGTGTGTGTGGTATAATGTAATCAACACTTTTACTCTGATTTGCAGTTTTGTTTGTCGACTGCGAGATAATTCTACTTACTGTAAGTAGGCAGAACCGGCTCGATAGCGCGCCAATGTAGGCAACATAGGGCCAGTTCTGAGCACAGCTTGTGTTAACGTTATCTGATTCGTGGCCAGCACAGCTTGTGCTAGTTTATACGTATGCGATCTGATACAATGTAGGAGATGACCAAGTTTCAGGGTGCCGCACAAAATATATGTATACTCCAGGGTGTACTTTTGTAAAACTCCAAGTAGTCATATGGGAAAGGTTTCATGGAAAGCAAGGAAGGTGCATTATACTCACGCAAACTCCACCACGTCGTCCATGATATAGTTTCACGGCGCGGAGCGACCAACATTTCTTACCAATAATTAGACGTCTTGCAAGTAGAACAGTGGGTGGGCCGACTCAACCCCCCAACACACTAACACCACCTCTCAATAAAACTATGGAGGTACCTAATGACAAGTGGGTTCCAAGTATAACGTTAACCAACGTTAACCTGTATTAGTACTACAGTCCCTCAACGTTTGCTCGCCTGCCAAAATATAAATTATTCGAGGCCGTGAAAAGTACAAAGTCAACAGAAAAATAAATTTTGCCATGTGGTTTGCTCCAGACATCAGTTAACAGCAAACGCTGAATTGAGTGGCCGGAGATGCCCTGGAGGGGCCGATGTTGTTCCATCGGTGTGTCCCGTTGTACAATTCCCGTGTGGACCCAGCAATTGCGCATGGTCGTTGACGTTCCAGGCTACTAGCGACGGTGAGCACGTCCACCGACGTGAGTACCGGTTACGTACAATTATTATTATATTATACAGGTAGTGTCATATTTACTGTACCAGATAACCAGATAAGTTCAGGCGAAATCAGATACCAGTACTAGTATAGGTGTACAGGAATTACTACGCAGTACCACTCTGGTCCATAATGATTGTCGTATTGTTTTTGGCGTGGTGCCATTCGTCTATATTTACGACTTGAATTAAACTGATTGGTGCATTGGAAAGGTAATGATCTCCTCTTTGATTGGCTAGTTCGAGCTCCTCCGAAAGCACTTTTTTGCAGGAGATACAAGTGAGGTGAGGTCGATTTTTTTAAGTGAAAATCATCCGGTCAACGTTCAATGCCATTACTATCTCGTGCACTCGATGGAATAGACGTGCTAACCCTATGCGAAGCAACTACACATAGTAGCGAGATCCAATGACGTTCTGCTCGCTAGTTGCGCCATGTAGCGTCGGGTCAAAGTAGATAACCACAAAATGCTGATATATAGCCATGACGACCCTATGAAAGACATGCTCTCGGTTAATGCACCTGACAGTATAAATCTATGATTCGTTCATTAAGGTCACCCACACATTCGGCGTTGGCCCTGACGAACAGACCTCTCGCCTTGGCGCGACGGCGGCCAAACATCGTGGCGGCAGATTTTGGGGTATAAACCTCTACGTATTTATAAATATATGTATTTATGGAGGCAATTTCTGAGAAATTTGCTGAATTTCATACTGAAGCCAAGTCAAAAATAACATGACAATCTTTATGGACCAGAGTAGTATATGATAGCACAATGAAAATTGAGCATCATTCCTGATCGATTTGGACCATATAATTTCTAAGATATTCTAATTAGGACTCTCTAAGCACTAAAATCGGATTTCTAGAGAAATTCTCTCGCTACCTACCGGTAGACTATTTCAATTGTCAAGGCAATATCCTACTTTGACTGAGATACAGTTGTTCAGTATCAATCATTTCCAATCGGAGGTAGTATACGTCAACTGTACCAGGTACTACCGGTACTTCGCAGTCAATTGATTTCAGATGAAATCTGATACATTTGATAGCACTGGATATGCAAACTTGCCTACATAGACGCACAATCGAGCCGGTTCTACGTACAAAGTAGAATAATTCGTTGGATGCAAAATTATCGCTCCTCCAATTGCTCCGAGCTGTTTGTCAACCACATGAGGGGTTATCAGGAAGAGGCATACTACAAAAGGAGTGTTTGGGGAGGTTTTGGCGGCCCCCAATACTGTACGTATACCGAGTAAGTTCAAAAGCATATATACAGTAGTACTAGTATTAATACACAAGTACATGCTAATACCATTAATACTATGGAATGGCCGACGTCATATACACAGAATAATCCTCGGAATAGACCTTGCCGTTTGTAAGCGTTCGGGCAATGGTTCTCTAGAGTTGTGTTAATGTAAACAATATTACACTTACCTGTAACCAGATTGTCATTACGCAAGTATACATACTACAGTAGGGTATTTCCCAGGATCGTCCAACAATGACCGAAATTTATAACGATCATCCAAGTCAGGTATTTGGGAAATATTTATATTCCAATGGCTAAAAGCACTGGAGTAAAACGAACTTGGTTACTAAAAACGAATGGCTCTTATTCCTTGCGCATATGGTGGAGCCAAGCAGGGGATC